CCTACACGGCTGATGTTCCTGACAGGATCAACTGAGTGTTTCGGTGGCCGCCAGCAAAGCTAACCTCCACACACCACCAGCTGGCACTGGCCAGGAGCAAGGTGAATGCTGGTGCCAGGCCTTGGGCTCCGTGGGGGCTAAGTCTGGTCTTGTCCCTCTTACTGCTCCTCTCTTCTCCCTCCAGGAAGGAAAGAATCATGTCCTCGTGAGTGACACCCCAGTCCCCATGCTCTCTTTGAAAGGCAGTCTCTTCCCTCTAAGACTGATTCTGGAGCCAGCACACACTGGTCTGGAGTGCCCAGCACAGGGTTTGGCAGAAAGCAAGTTCCTGACAACTGGGAGCTGTTCACACTGGGAGACATCTGCAAGCAAGTCAAATGGCCCAGAGCTCTGCCACATGAGCCGCCCCGCAGGACAATGCTACATTGTGTGGAGGAAAACACACCACCCTCAGTCTCCTGCTGGCCCAGGTCAGTTTCGGCCTGTACTTGGGGCAAATGGGAAGAAGTGAGAGCTTGAAACAGCTGCAGAAAGGTAACCCAGCGCACAGGGGTTGATGAAACTGAAATGTGGGTCTGGACCTCGCTCTGCTGGGCTCCAGGGGCCTCTGCACTGGACTCTCTTCCCTGGTTTTGGCTCAGGCCGGTGCAGGCCACCTGGGCTCCTGCAAACAGCAGACATGTAATTAGAAGCTCCTGGGCTGGGCCGAGGTGGTGCACAGGCAAGTCTGGTCCTGTGCCCGCCGCCCCTGCAGCCCCGAGCTGCAGGGCCAGGAGCTGCAGGAGCTGTCAGCTGGTGGCTGCTCGGCCAAGAACCCTGATCAGTGAGGGAGGAGACACTGTGTACAAGGACACTGGTTCATCCAAGAACATGAGGCCAGCCAGGAATTCAGAATAACAAAACACAGCTTCCTGTGTGCTGTGCCCGAGGCGGTGCCACGGCTCGGCCAGAGGAAGGCTTGGCGCAGGCCAGAATGACACGACTCATTCCGCCTTACACAAGAGGGGAGTGGACAAGTCATGCTGTCCCAGGGGACGCTAACCCTCACGACTCTGAAGAAATCCACGGGAGGCGTGTGATTAGATGTTTACTGACGTGGCTCCTCGGTGACTGCCAGGGAACGAGGGTGCTGAGAACGTCGAGCACATTCCTAAGGACTGTTCCTGGGTGACTTTGCCATTTAGCAGGAAGGGGCGATCTGCATACCCCTGAGCATGTGAACTTGCTGCAGGCTTTCTTTGGGGACCCTGGCAGGGTGTCTGGACTCACAGGATAAGAGATGACAGCACAAGAGGTTAAGCCAGCGGCCTGACAGCAGCTAAGACAGGTGCCAACTAGTACTCAGAGCGCATTCCTTCCTGCCCATTCCAGCACCCTGCCCCCTGCCCCTGACCAAACCCCGCCTGCCGCCCCAGGGCGGTGCACTCAGGACCGTCAGAGTCCCAGGGCCACTGGGATGGAGGCTCAGGTACAGAAAAACACATACAAGTATGTTTGCTGCTCTGAATTCCGAGCAGATAACAGGAGAGCTGAGGGGAGCATGTTTCAACATGCTCTGCTTGGAGTGCAGAGTCCTGCTGCCTTAGGTAGAAGGATCTTGAAGTTCGATCCATACAGGTGAAAAGCCAGGAAGTGCACACCCTCACAACAATGAACGGTGTTGGGCTCGCCTGAATCATGTTTGTGTAGTTACAAGGGGTAGGAGGTAAGGCCAACGCTGTGTGGACAATGGGAACATTCTCCTCACGCCCCAAAACTCTCAAAACTTCTGTTAAATGTGGAGTGATTCACACAGGCGGAGAGCAAGGGCCAGAACATTCTGTCAAATGACCTACTCTGCAAAAACAAGTCCTCAAGCACACTTTTAGTTTGAGCAGAACTTACTTTCTTAAGGACAGTACCTCAAAGTTTTAGGGCTGGATTAAAAATGAACTCTCTTACCTCTTCGCCTGTTCCCCAATGAGGTGTGGAGCTCAGGCTGGGGCTCTCTGGGGGCCTGAGGAAAGTCTTTAGTGTTTTCTAGAACGAAGGCAATACCACAGTTGGCAAGCCTCCGCTTCACCTTAAGCAGGGAGCACCACGTGTCTTTACAGAACTGCTTCTTAAAGGTGAGCTCATTATATGATGCGTAGAGAGATGGCTCAGCAGTAAAGAGCGCCGGCTGTTCTTGCAGAAGACCCGGGTTCGAATGCCCAAATAAGTTTCTAAATTCGTTTTAAAAAAGTAGGACCAAGGTTCACTTTGATGGTAACTTTTTTTTTTTGTTTGTTTTTTGGTATTTTTGAGGCACGGTCTCCCTATAGCCCCAAATTGACCTTGAACTCAGAGATCTGCCTGCCTCTGCCTCCCAAGTGCTGGGATTAAAGGTGTGTGCCACCATGCCTGACTTGATGGTAACTTTTCTTGAATAAAACATGATACGAGTATTATTTAGATGCCAATTTCCTGATTTTGATAAGTATATGTTACCATATCATTGGGGAAATGTAGATAGGTATAGGGAACTTCTGAGTTTTGAAATTTTTTTTTTTTTATCTTTTTTGAGACAGGGTCTCTCTATAGCCCAGCTGGCCTAGAACTCGCTTTGTAGACCACGCTGGTCTTGAACTCTGAAATCCCCCTGCCTCTGCCTGAGTGCTGGGATTAAAGGCATGTGCTACTATACCTGGCTTGATTTTTGAAATCTTATGAATGTATAATTATTTCAAAATAAAGTAAAAAAAAAAAACTCTATGTATGAGGTATATGTGTGAGGTAACCGTGCTAGGAGCTTATCTGAGCTCTTCCTTGAGTTCAGAACACTTAAAGATAGTTCCTAGCCCGGCGTGGTAGCACAGGCCTTTAATCCTAGCAGTCAAGTGAATCTCTGTGAGTTTGAGGCCAGTGTGGTTTACATAGGGAGACCCTGTCTCAGAAAGACCAAAAAGATAGTCCTTCTTTTTCGCAACAGAGTTAAGACATCCCTAGAAGCCAGGCATGGTGGTATGAGTCTATAATCCCAGTACTTGGGAGGCCGAGGCTAGGCTGGGCTACACAGCAAGATCCTGTCTCAAACAAATGAACATTAGGCTCCACTAGCGCGTTTGGGGAACGTAATGAGGACCGGCAACCCCTCGACCCCTCCGTACTTGAGCTGACAAGGCCTGTCAACCCTGCTGTCTGCTGACCTGCAGAGCCCTCTTCACGCTAGCTTCTGTGTCCTTAGGTGTGCTCGGTGCTGGGACATGTCCGGCAGCTTTGCACATACTCATGGGGGATGTGAGGTTCAGGGAAGGCCATGCGACTTCATAAACAGGGTGAAAGGTGGAAGCTAGATTTACGTTTTCTAACTTTGGGCCAGTACTGTTACCAAGATGGTATTGGCCTTCAAGACCCCCAACAGTGCAAGAACGAGGCAGTACGTGGTTTCCCCTGGGTAGATCGGAGCAACAGCCAATGGACAGAGGGTCAGGGTTCACCTAGGCCACAAGGACCTAGAATTCAACTTGCTTGGAGTGGTGGCTGGGGGAAAGAGGGAGGTTGGTGGTGGGCCTTTAAAGGGGTTAAGTGTTCTAGCCTCGTGCCATTAGCACAGTGGCTGGGCACATTTCTCTGGGAAGGGAAAACTGTGAAAAGTGTATTCCTAGACGTTCAAAGAAAATCATGAAAGCGGAAAGTTGGAACTGGCAAAGGTGTGGAGGACAAGCCGGAGTGCTGGGCCCAGACAGCCAACCTGTAGGTAGCATGTGGCGCCCGTGCCAGGCAGAGAGGTGGTTTCAGGGTCCCTGCTTCTGAGAGTTATGTCCCCCTTCAGGATGACATGTGGCCCACCCCCACGATCTGGACTGCCGCTGTCCTTCCCAGCGAAGTCAAGTGATGCCTCTCTCCACCTCCCCCGCAGCCACGCCAGCGTAGTCCTGGCTTGTGGTCTCGCTACCTCTCACGTCTCAGCAGTGTTCTCCACACAACAGCCGCTGTCATCTCTTCTAAAACACATCACACTGCGTTCCTCTCCCACTTAGATCTTCCGAGTTGTGCCCTGCCCTTTTCCCACCCCAGCCACTCCCCCCAGCAACCTTCGCTCTGGAACACGGCCTGCATTTTCCTGCTCCTCTGCTCACACAACTCCCAACTCATGGCCCACCTTCAAAGGTGGAGTGCCTTTCAGTCTCCAGTCAGCCCTGTTGTTTCATTTTTCACACTTCTGAGCTGCACTGGTCTCAATTCTGTGAGGGGAAGGCTCTTTCCTAACGTGACTGCTGCCAACAGACAAATGCCAAATGAGCTCCAAGCCCATGTCTTTGCCTGGAAAATGCCAGAAATAACACAAAGGGCCACCCAGCTTTGGTGAGGCACCCTGGCAGACAGATTCTGTCGAAGGTTTCCAACAAGCCAGAGGGGAAGCTTTACACAGGACCCAAATAATCCAGAGTTAGCCCTAAAACTCAGCAGGAGTTAGATGGGGTCTATGTGAGGACATTGGCTTCTTCCGCTGTTTCCCTCTGTGTGGACGGCAGAGCCCCCCACACCACACAGAACCGTTTTGATAGTGATAGCAGAATCAAGTTCACTTACTGTTATAGGTAAAAGCAAGCCACTTGATTTTATCATTCACTCCTTTTTTCTTGAGGACAGGAATGGATTCATTTGCTCAGACTGGCCTCAACTGCCACATGTAACTGAGGATGACCTTGAACTCCTGCTCCTCCTGCCTCCAACTCCCAGGTGCTGGGTTTACAGGTATGTGCCATAGTGCCCAGGTTACGTGGTGCCAGGAATCAAACCCAGGGTTTTGTGCATGCTAGGCAAGCATTTTACCAGCTAAGCTCTATCCCTAGCCCCATCCATTTTTGTAACATTGTCATCTAGAAAACCAAAGTTTCAACACCTGTTAAACTTCCAAGAATGGCTCACACTTGAAAGCAACAGGGCTGCCACTTGGCTCACACTTGAAAGCAACAGGGCTGCCAATTGCTTGAGATGTTTTCTAAGCATTTAGGCAAGAAACATTATTAACGGTATCATAAATAAGTAATATAACTTTATTAAAATGAAAAGACAATATTCAAAATAATGCAACAAAATGAATAAATCCTTTGTCCAATACTGTACACATAATGCAGAAATCAGTGCATTTTCTAAAGCATGTTTTAACCTTCATTTAGTTCATACTAAAATATAGTAAGCTTTAAATAGCTCAAATAATGTCATTCAGCAGTTTAAACTGAACAGCTTAACTGTTACAGAACATCGCAGTAATGTCCCTCTGTTAGTGAGCACCTTCTCTCTTGCGCTAATCAATACTAGATTAATGCATCAGAGGATGTAAAAAACAAACACAAGCTATGCCTCTCCCTGAATCCCAGGCAGTGGAGCAGCCAGCCGGGAGAGTTTTCAAACAGGAAGATGCTGGCGTGACCTCCGGCATTAAGACATCTGTGCTATTGGTCAGAAGTGTTTCACTTAAAAAGCAAACAATCCCCAGGAAATACTGAATAGGAACCAGCAACACAAGGCCAGCTTGTGTTGTATTTGTTTATTAATAGTCTAAAAACAAAACTAAACTGAACAAAACAAAAACCATACCACACATCCCCGCACAGCAACTCTCAATCACATAGCTAATGGCTTCACCAGTCTAGAACACTCACATCCCACACTGACGGCTAGCGTGACTCCATCAGACCCTACTACCGTCCTGAAAGCCTCGGTAGAGGGGCTATTGTAGCAGATGGGAAAAAGCAGGAATTGTATGGAAAAATTCTTCACCGACTTTTAGTGTCAATTTTTAAGCTATGAGACATGCATAAGTGGTAACATGGTCCAGAAACTGCCGCCTTCCCTGCACAAGACAAGGACCCCAAAGCTGGGAGCTTCAGGCCTTGGGCCAACTTCAACAGGGTGGCACAGGCCTGGTGAGAACGCCCTCTTTGCTCTGTATGGAGAAGACTGCTTGCAAAAATACACGAAATACACTACACAGCGCGCCTAAGTGCCAGAAATATTTAAACTCACTAAACAAAAATGTTTTTTCATGATTTTGATCTAAACAACACTGTTCTCTCCCATTCCTGGCTCCATCCTGAGCTTCCATTACTCTGAATATGTATGACTCTAAGACAGTACCTAATTGGTTATCCTGCAGCTACGGTCTATGGTTACACCACAAGTTTATACATAGGCATATAGTGTGGTCATATGTAAAAGTTTTCCCATCCTTCCCACCCCACTATCACATCTTTAAATTGTAGTCGTTTTCTTCCATGGTAACACAATCAGGAAATGAGGGATTCTCAGCCTAACAGCACCTCATGACTGCTCTACCCCTTCTCATTAAGACAGAGTTCACTGACCACTTTCCGCAATCTGACATATTGTTCTGTGGCCCTCCACCAGACAGGAAATGGAGAGCCATCCGTTCCCATGGAACGTCTGAACCTCGACCCTCACACCTAAGGAGAAACCACATAGGATAAGTGTTTGCGTTTCCCGTGGCCACCCAGATCAATTTTCATCCTGGAGTCCAGCTTTTCTGTGGCGGACACCATACCACAGGCAGCAGGTAATGGTGGAATCTGGGTGCTCGGGCGAGTTTCTTCTGCTTCCCTAAAGAACTTCTCGTATCTGTCTAGGTAGGGCGGTCTCTCAGGTAGTAGGTAATAATGTGTTGAACTGACCTTCTTCCCATTTTCAATGATGGGCAGGATGCAAGGGACTTTGCTGGCAGATCCTTCACTGTTCTGTCTTTGCAGGGCTTTGCTGCTGACATACTTGGGGTCAGGGGCAAAGCTCTGTGTTGGGGGCATAACCCCATTGAGGTAAGATGGAAGGCTTTTAGGACTTGGGGTGCGGGAGTTACTCCGTGACAACGGTTCTCTTGGGGGGACTTTGGGAGGCCTGTCTTCATCACTGTATGTGCTGGAGGTCACTTCTGCTGACCACCTTCTGTAGTCTGGCTTAGCTGGCCTAGGAGGTATGGGAATTCTGGGAGGCACCTCAGGCTTGTCTCCATCTGAGCTGGGAGAGGCTGTGTGTGTGTAGCTGGAGACCCGGATGGCTGGCTTGTTGAAGGACCCGGCTGGTCCCGAGTGTGACCTCCTTAATCTGCGGTGGCTTTGAGGTGGGGGAGGATTTGGATCTGGGACGCCTCCATTCTGGTCAGACGAGCAGCTGAGATCTGCTACAGAAACAGTCGGGGTGTCAAAATATGCATAGTTGATCTGTCCGCACCCACGGAAGCTTCGCCTGCCAGGAACATCGTATTTGAAACCAGAAAGCACACAGTCTTCTAAAAGGAAGTCTGTGTCTGAGCTGGTTAGGAATTCTACCTCAGAGTCCACCTCGTCCAGAGAGAGGTCTTCAGAGATGGGCAGGGGTGGGAGTGGCCGAGAGCCCCGATCACACAGAGCTGCACACGGAAAAAGGGAAGGGAAGTTTTTTATGGGTGTAAGTGGAGGCGTGGAAGTGCAGACCCCACTCACTGAGAGTCTCTTCAAACCACACACAACTTGGTCCTCTTCACACTGTCCCGAGCTTTCACCTGGGGGAATAATAAGAGGTGGCAAGCTTGACTTCGGAGATGGACCATATTCCGCAAAGAAGTGGCCATTCATTGCAGCAGGCTGTGAGGCACATCCTAAGACAAACAAGGGATGCTCGAAGTCAACACAGCTCCAAGTCCCTCTCCCCATGAGACAGCCCAGCCACCCGAGCAGCTCCCCGTCTTTGCCCGAGTTAGGGAAGCACCTGACTGCTGTGACTGAGGATGCCCGTGCAACCAGCACAGGTGTAATTAGAGCCGGAGACGGGGAACACACGTGATCTGGTTCAAAGAACAAATTATCTCTGCCATCTCCTTGGACACGCGCACCGCATACACCTACACATCCCAGGCAAGTTTTGTGAAGTGCGCAAAATTCACAGAAGATGAGCAACACAGAATTTACATGAGTGCCGTGCTACACCTGCCTTGCCAGTTAATGCAACAATACAAGGGGTGCCAGGTACAAGTGAGCTAAGAGGATGAGGACCTGGCAGCCAGCGCATCAGCATACTGAGCAAACGGGCTCCCTGTAGTGTGCTCACCTGAGAGTAAGTAGCCCTTGCCAAAGACCTAAGGAGCAGAATGTTCACATTAAAAGAACTACACAGAGTTCTAAGTCTGTGACCATCCAAACTACTTTCATCTCTTGCTTTTAAATGTGTGTTCAGTATTACCAACAACAGAAGAGGTACTGTCCAAGGCTAAGAACCCACCATTCCTCAGAGAGAATTCTTGATTTTAAAAATCACACTGCCACAAACGATTCTCTATGAATCAGTAACTCAGGACACAGGCAGTAAGGTAGAAGAAAACCAGGATTCTCTTCAGAATCTGCCGCCACTAGGGGTCAGACTATTGTTGTCTATGGCTCAGGTATCCTCACTTCAATAGCACTAGAGGACAAGGCCAAAGGGACCAGACTTCCCAGGCGGCTTCCCCAGACCAGCGTACATACCGACAGCTGTGAGGTGCTCCTGAGCAGGGGAGTTCAGACTGTAGGCCATGGTTATTGGATCAATATTTAAAAAGTTACTAAAAGCAAAGGAAAACATCTTGGTCATAAGCAGTCACAATTACATTCTCTATCACTGTGGTATCATGCGTTTATACAAAGCACAGCGGCACCACATTCTCTACTTACTTTTCAAACTCCCTGCGACTACCCCAGCAGGTCTTCATATTCCCCAAGGCCTGGCCATTATGTAGAAATCCAGTTTTTAATGGGACTCTAATCTCCTGAGTAGCAACTCCTGCTGTTGACATTGTGCCTTATTCTGGATGTCTCCAAATCTGTGAAGCCCAGGGATTTTAAGTCAGCCAGTAGTTTTCATTCCCTGGGGGGAGCAAGAAGCAATGAGAGAATAAATCAAACAATTCAGAAACACACGAGGATGGTTGTAAACTACAGCATAAGTAGGCGATTAAGAAAACTGGGGCATAGAAAATTCTGGTTGTACGCTTTTTGCTAATTCTTATTTCTCATGAAGGTATTTAAAATGAAGACAGCAAAGATAATTTTTGTCTTGGTAAATACTAACCCAACACTTGAAAAGTTTTTTCACAGAATGACCAAGAATCTACCTCCAGAAAAACAGAGCTCTTGCTACAGAGCTTTACAGTTGCACAACAAATCCCACTCACTTTCCAAAGCATACAAACCTTCCTCCAGCCCACTAAACTGACCTTCTCTGGCATGGATGTGCTGGGCAGGAAGCACAAGTGAATCTTGTGCATTTCTCCCAAGCTATAAAAGTAATTTCAAGCCAGGCATTCTGGTTCATGCTGTGATCCCAGTACTTGGGAAACTAAGGCGGGAAGAAGGCAGGTTCAAGGGTCACCTGGGCTACACAGCAAGGCTCTGCCTTACCTGTAGCCCCCCCCTCACCCCAACAATAACTTCAGAAGGTACTATGTTTCACAACACAAAAGTGGCCCACACTTAAGATGGTCTACGTGGTGCCTGTGGCCCAAGCCTGGTGTTTATTTGGATTCTGCGTTTCAGGGTTGGCCACAGAAGATGTATTCTCCAGTTGTTACTTAAGAAAGACACATATGAAGACAGTAATTTCTATTATCCTGTAAAAATCAAGTTCTGCAAGATTACCAGCTTCAGTGTCAGCTTTGGACAGCTTCCTCCCTCCCTCCCTTGCAAAGACAGCCAGAAAGGTACGTTCCTCACATTCTCCTTCAAGAAATGCCATAATTCATGCCCTGCCCACCCATAAAGCATGGATTACAAAGGCCAAATGCATTTTCTTAAGCTGGCAGCTCCTCTAGCTAGAACATCCCCTTTGGTCAGATGCCACAGATCTACAGTCCCCACAGGCTCATCCTAATTTTACTTCTTTTTACAATTCAGTACATCATGGGTTCTGAAAAGCTCCAGCCTCTGCTGTCTTCAGATACTCACATATGCTTATAGTACGCCTGGCCTTTCCCCTTACACAGCAGGATGTTACCTGTCCACGGCTAGAACACAGACCCCCTGTGAGGTCTCCACACACACATTCTATACTCTCTCATTAGGCTTTGCATACTTAGCAAGTGCTGGCGCTATGCTTAGTACTAAGAGAACAGGACGAGTTTGCTGGCTGGAGGGATTACACAGATGGTTCTTTTGGTTATTAATTTTTAAAAAATATTCAGCAACTAAAAATCTATTATTTTACAAATTTCAGGCCAATTTCTGTGACTTCAGAGACAAGTGATTCCGCCCCAGCCACCCCTTTCTCAACTGAATGTATTAGTTAAAGCTGAAGATCTAGAACTACCCTGCTGGGGCTCACTGACAGAGCTGTCTGCGTTGACACACAGCAGCGAGTCTATGACAGGCCTAAAGATTTATTCCAAAGAGTCAGGATTTTTCTTTAAACCGGTCTCAGACCATCAAGTAAAGCTTTAATAATTTTTTTTTTGGTCTCTCTCTCTCTCTCTCTCTCTCTCTCCTCTCCTCCTTTCTTTTTGAGACAGGTCTCCCTGTAGCCCCAGCTGTCCTGGAACTCACTATGTAGACCAGGCTGGCCTTGAACTCACAGAGATTCACCTGCCTCTGTCTCCCGAGTGCTGGGATTAAAGGCGTGCGCCACGTCCGGCGCTTTAATAATTTTAAAAGCCAATTTTTTAGGTGGCAGCCCCTCCCTCAGTGTGTAGTTACAGAGGTTCATCATGGCTTTCTAAGCATTCCTGCAGGCACCGAGGAGCTCCAGGGGAAGGGTCTGTGGTGATATGAAAATGGAAGGCAGAATGGGGGAAGAGTATGGTGTTTAAGTAGTCTGAAAGCACATGTTTGAAGATTGTTCATCCTGATTACAGGAAAATGCTGTGGGGGATTCTGGAGGCCCAACCCCCACCTGTCGGCAACCAACGAGTACTACTAGTAATCACTGTGTCAGCCTCCCAATGCCATCTACAGCTCAGCTTTCAACAGGATTGTGTAACCATGCCTCTGCTCAAGTTGCCTTGAATCCTAACTTACATTTCAATGGTTACTTAAAATTATTTGTATGCTCTAGAAAAAGTTATTTTTTATTCATTGTTTCCATCACCTACTTGTTAGCTTTCTCAAGAAAAAAAATTTTTTTTAGTATAAAAAGAATTGTGTTCACTGAGCCAGCTCACTTCTGACCACAATGGTGTCTTTGTGCATTCAGAGGTGACCTGCCTCTACATTTCAATGGGGAACTGTGGACAGGCCACGTTATGAAACTGCCCGGACTTCCTACTTGCATGGCGGACGCGAGGCGGCAACACAGCTGCCGTGAGCTCAGCTTTTGGGAAATGACTTCAGGCTGTAAACCCAAAGGAGCAACGCACAGGCTTCCTTAGCGCACAAGAAAAAGGCCTCCAGATTTTAAACTAGGGTTATAAACCACCTGAAACTATTCTACCTCTCTGAAAACCCAGCATTCAGGCTCTATGCTCAGAGGTGGGTCGACCGAAGAGAAATCACCTCAGCCAAGCTTAAGCTAACACATTTGGTTCAAGTGAAATTTGACAAATGTTTCAGACTTTATCTGCTCCCTCATGACTATAAAGCTGGTTCGACTTCACAATTCATTAAGAAAGTAACTGCAAAGACACCGATGTGGGATTTATCAATGCTGATGCAGGATGGCATTCTGTTATGAAATGCAAGGACAGGAAAGCAATGTTGGTCCAGGTAGCACGGTGTAGATCAACAGCCTTCAGCAGGACAACTTGAGACAATCCTGAGCTAATCTTTAGCTTTCTTAATGGGTCAAAAATACAGTTAAAATAGCAATTTCAGAAATGAACTACCTTTTTCTGTTAATAGCACTGATTTTTTTTTTCTTAAGGGGGAGAAAAATCTTAAATCTTTTATCTAACCTCTACAGGCTTCAGCCCTGCAGACAGCTCCTAAACTGATAACCACTGCCTGGTTCAAGCCTTAGCTCTGCATTTCCTATTGTCTACTGATTATCTTTCCACTCTGGCATCCCACTAGCTACTGACCCAACACCTCCTTTCACTTAATTCAGGAGGACCACACTTCTAGAGGTACCACATAGAGGTAAGGACGATACACATTTCCTCGCCAAGCTCCATATACAGTTTCTATGTACGGTCTTTCTCAAGCTTCTCTTCCTTCCCCTCGCTGGCTCCAAGTGGCCTCTGGTCTGAAAATGCCTAAAGTAAACTACATACCAGGTCAGATGATTCCTTAAGTGCCACCCAGAAAGAACCAGAGGAAGTCGCTAAATGAAACCTCCTTGCCCGGCACAGAGGACTTCAAGGCCTTCGCCTGGCCTTTCAGTGCGGCTTTCCCCAAGCTTTAAGGCCAGTTCTTATACTATGCCGCATCTAAGCAAGCCCCTTGCCAGGGCTGTCTCTGATCCAAGCGAGTCTGTGCAGGGCCCAGGCTCCCCTCCTACCCTTCAGATCTCACAGGACTGGTGTCTGACCTCCCACCCTACCCAGCAGATTTTGGCACATTTACTTCTAACAAATACTACTAAGTGGACATTGAGCCACCTCATGTTTTAAAATCTAATTACAGGAACATTTCCCCAGGCCGAGGAGAAGAGCTAAGGGAAAGCAAAGACCTGCTAAGGGCTCAGCTCCACAGGCACTGGCTGGGTGATGAGATACCCAGTAACATTACAGGTTTGGGATATCCTGAACTCACCCCCAGATCCTAAGTGGACAGTGTGCAGTGAGCAAAAACGTGAAGCATCAACATTGATGTCTGTATACTTGACCCTATTCCTCTGGAGTTACAATCCATCTACTGTGTTTTTGTTGCTAACTTTAAGGTTACTTCCCTTTAAAAAAAAAAAAAAAAGCCACACTACAGCAAGGTACACTGCACACTTCTTTATAAGGTGAATTCATATGCCTTTCAGAACATTCTCCATGAAACTGCTCATACACACACACACACACACACACACACACACACGCATACCCAGGCTACCTACCTTACGGCAAAAAAAGCCACACTACAGCAAGGTACACTGCACACTTCTTTATAAGGTGAATTGCTACCAGGTCTCATTAATGCATCTCAGGAGCAATTCAGGGGAGGAGGAGGGGCACATTTTTGTCATACAACTCATCCAGTTCTGCCCAGTGCTTCCTTATTTAAGAGTGTGATGTAATTTCCTTCTTTCAATCTGGTTCTAGAACCTGATTTCTGTTTATTCAGGTGATAAATGGTCTTTTCAGCTGCATTTAACAATTACCTACCTCCTTCCATAACCAGGAACATAAAGAAACTGATTAGAAACATGACATATTCCATGACTTTTGACCCTTCCCAAATATACCAGTTCATGTTCATTAAAAAAAAAAAGTCTGATCCCCTTTGAGAAAATGGGAAACTTATATTGTGAATAATGTCTAAGACACTAGTAACCAGGCTATCTGACAACATTCAGCTTGTCTGTTTTATGGACCTTTATTCATCTGAGAAAAATTATTTGGCATTCCTCTGCACATTCAGCATGGTAGTTACATGGGAGGGTCTACAGTCAGACTGGGTTCTGTTTTTGTTTGGTTCTACACATTTTGGCTATGAACGTAGTTCACCACGTATCTTCCCTGGTTATGTCGGTAATTGGTCAACACAGCGTGAAGGGCCATCTTACCTCCCTGACTCAAGCAGGTTGTGCAAACCTGCACTCATTCACTGAAAGCAAAATGACAATCTACAGATTTGTTTGTTTAAGAGCTAAGGCCTTAAGAGTTTTAAGAGTTTTTCACTCTAAAAGGCTATGATTTGGGTAAAAAAGGATACAAATTAAGAAAGCTTTGTTATGCTGTTACCGTGGAAAAGCAGAAATGGCCCTTCAATTAAGTGCATGAATGACTTTAAAAAATGCAATTACTTGTGTATGAAATCAAGCAAATTTGGAAGTTTCGGCAAATATTAAAATGATGTTCAATATGATGAGTATTAAGATTCTTGTGTTTCCAACTCCATCCCCCAGAGGCTCTGAAAAGTGCCCATTCGTAGATGGTCAAAAGAGAGGAAACTGTCAAAATCAAAATTAAATGATGGAATTTTTTCAATGATTCAGAAGACTCTAGGTATTTTAAATGATGGAATTTTTTCAATGATTCAGAAGACTCTAGGTATTTTAAAGAACTAGCAAGCTAGCAAACCCCATTATGTTCACCTCCCATAATCAATAGCCTGTTGACTCTGTCAATCCCTCGGGATTTTAGTTTGGACATAAAAGTGGGGCAGCGTGTCCTCTGGTCACCGGTCCTTTTCCTACAGAGCACAACAATCAACAGCAATGCACACAAACACAAGCAGGCGCACAGGATGGAAGCATTCCTGACACACGGTACTTTCTACTGTGAACCATCTGTGGACTCTGTTGTCATCATGTGCACAATGGTCTAACGATGAGAAGTGAGTCTTGAAAACTTCAAGTTTATTTAACAAGCACCTAAGCCACCCAATGGCAGCTCCAGCTTGTTTCTCCTAACATTCAGGCATTAATAACTAACATGCACAGCACACTATTGTTAGGCAGTTTCTTCAGGGTTTTACCCTTGCACCAGCCCTGCCCGGTGAGTTACCACCACTCCTCCTGTTTACAGATCAGACGCTTTAGGAACTGGCTCCAGGTCTAAGCTGCTAAGCCACAGCAAGGCCAAGGCTCACACAGAGAGCCTGGCTTCCAAACTCGGGCTCTTGAACACACCACAGCTTCTCTTCTCGTCCCCCAGGCTCTTCCAATTGGTAGGATAAGAATGATCTAGGATACAGGTGGTTTTTGTGGGTAAGGTTGATACATTCCTGGAAGGACCCTGTTTGGTAATAGTTTTTCTTGGGTGACCTGTAGCCTATGGAAATTCCTGTTTCATATCCTCAAACTTCCCTATCAAAAGTCATCAATTATTCATTAGGCCTAGGTATCTGAAATGGGTGGGTCAAGGTATAAATTAACCTTCTACAACCACTTGTAGTAATTCTTCTGATGCTACCTCTGCTGATATAATGATGCCCCACCACAACGCAATCTGTTACATCACAGTATCTGTCTTTACTTGGAAAAGGACTCCATACAGACCTGGCAGGCTTCCTCCTAATTCCAAATGACGGCATTATAACCAGGCACTATCCTACAATCTGGAATTTACTAATAGAATCCTTTCTATCTGTAAAGCATGCTACAAATTACAAAGCACTTTCTTTTACATTATCTCACTTGATCCCCACAACATCCCTCTGAGAAGAGGCAGGGATTAGAATCTCCATTTTGCTAACAAGGAAATGAAGTGAGCTGAACCATCCTGCTCTGAGCTTGGCTGCCTGGGCCACTGAGCCTGGAAACCAGCCAGCACTGTTTCCACTGCACTCCACTGCCTCTCCTTGTCATGGTCTTGTTTCTCTTAATGCTCTTGCCTAAAGGATGGCTAAGTTAGATACTTAAGGCCGAGATGCCACGCAACTGCAAAGGCAGGAACTGGAACACAGCTCCGTGTGCAGCTCAGGTTCTTAGAGGGCAAACATGAACTTCTTTCCACAAATGCGTGGAATGCTTCTCTGAACTACATGCTGTGCCGGATAGAAAGAGAAGTGGGTGCTGCCTGATGAAGCCTCAATGTAACACAGGCAGGAGATGATAAATAAGCAAGTCAATAATTTCAGATCATGATAACTTTCAAGGAAATGAGCAGGCCACAGTGACAGGATAGGAGGCAGAGACCGTATTTACACAGGTGGGCAGGGGAGGCCTCGGTGGACAGGTGACTTTTTAAACTGAATTCTAAAGGACAGAAAAGAGGTGGCTGTGAAAAGAGATAGGAAAAGAACAGTGTTTTCCAAAGAGCAATCTGTGACTAGTTTCTTATCATCTACGGGTCATGTACAAGAGCGTTTGAACAATAACTTCTAATCCTAGCCAGCCTTCTATTTCCAAATTGAAAATGACTCTAATTCCACATTTTAAAGACATAGTCACTGAAGCCTGGAAAACTGGACTTGAATATTGCCCGATTTTATGATATAAAGAGAAATGAACTAAGGTACCAATGAAGCTACAAATCTCATCTTTTCAAGTTTAAATCCCACACTAACTTCTTTCTTAACATCCACCCTCTGTTAAGCAAGTAATTTACATTAAGACCTTGAAGCTCATCAGTTTCATCCACTTTTATAAAGCATGTGTTTAAAGTGTAAATAATGCAATGATACCACTAAGTTGTGCTTATCTAGTGAGTTGGTTATTCATTAGCTTTCATAAAAGCATGGCCAAACGCCTGCAAAGGGTGCTGCAGGCATCCTGATAGGATAGGTACCATCCTGATAGGATAGGTACCAGCTCACATTTATTGAGATTAAGAATAGAGCTGCTTCTCCGGTCGAGGGAGAGGATGCCATTCAAATTCCAGGAATTACCCCGGGCACCACCTTTCTCTCCTCGTCTCACCTTCCTAAAGCAATCTGATGGTATGTTGACAATCAGGTCAGTTGCAAGTATGTTAGAGAGTACCTGTAATTTAGGTACCTTGCTTTTAAAAGCTACCATTAGTATGGGCAGAAAGGCAGTATCCAGTTCAACTTGAGAAGCAGTCAATTTCACACCAAAACAAAAGGACAACATAAAGACACACAAAAGCCTCACCGGTGTCTACACTGCACTTAAAGTAGGGGAAAACAATTCATCAAGAGACATTTTACCTGTCAAAAAAAGAATAATTCAGGCATTTGATAACAGCCATTAAAAAAGAACAGATTTGCTTTCCAGACTTTATCAGTGACTGGTCCAATCCTGCTGAGCCTTAAAATGTAAAATATGCTTTTCATGCATTTATCAACATCAACTATGTACAAGGCAGTGTAAGATAAAACCTGTACTAGGCAGGGTTCTTGTCCTTAAGGAGTTTGCCATCTAATTTATCTGCCAGGACAGAGATGTACAGGTCAAGATTTTGACCATCTATGACCAAGAGTTCACAAGAACACAGAGATGAGGAAGTGAAGGGACTGGGAAATAAGTGTCTGAAGCCGGAGTTAAAACCTCTATGCATTTCTCTCTAAACCTAATAGACAGAAAGGGATGGACTGATAACACTACTAATCGTCAGCATTAGAAACTGGCTTATTCTGGTCTTTGCAAAACTGGCCTTCTGCTGATAGTATATTATCTTTGGTCTCTGTTTAAGTAAAATCTCTCTTAAAACTCTAGAATTATATGTTTTTAAAGCTTTTTTTAAAAAAAAAACAAGACGAGATTCAGTGAACTTAAATGTTCCAGTCTCAAGAGATGTGCCTCGGCTACACTCTTGCAGACCCACAAAAGCATAAAAACTTTGTAGAACCTCTTTTTCCAGGAGGGGGCGGGAAAAAAAAAGCAATTTGTACTTCACCTTTCTTCACCCCTGACAGTTGCCTAGAAACCAGTCCTGCCCTACCTGTGTTGCAGGTGTACCTCAAGTCACATCTCTTTTAAAGCTACAGTCTCTATTCTGACTACACTTAAGTTTATGACTAACAATCTATTCATATTTTTTATCAGGTAGGAGACTGGTTTCTTTCAGGCAATGATGAAATCCTAATAAAGACCTAGCCGAGCACCAATACAGTACCGATCTGGGTTAGTAGCATCTACACGGAAGGACAGAAATTACCAGCAAGCCTTCGTTTTAGATCAGGTCCTTCTGTGGTTCTATTCCTTAGGAAGGAGTCTGTAAGTCATTCAAGCAAAGAATCACGTTTCTGGGAAGAAAAGGCCCCGGCACGCAGATGAATTAAACAATATATATCATGTAAAATATACAATTAATTATACATTATATATAATATAATGTAATACACACACACACGCACGGAAAAAATATAGAACGGCTGGAGAGCCTGGGGGACCGAGGCGGACTGACCTGGTACCAAGCCCGGAGCACCCTGTGGCCGGGGCTCCCGGGCAGCCCCTCGGTGCACGGTGCTCTAGGAAGATGGAGGCGAGCCGGCCTGCCCCGCGCATCCCCGGCGGCGGGGGGCGGGCGGACCCGGCCCCACTCCGCCCGCGGTCCCGCCCCCGCCCTCGGCGCAGGCCCCTTACCCCAGGGACGCGGCGGCCCCGCGGCGCCCTCCTGCGCATGTCCGTCCCGGCGGGCTCAGCGCCGCGGGCTCGGCGGCCCGGACATAACGCAGATGCCGCTCGCTCTCCCTCTCCGTCTCTCTCCGTCGCGCTCGGTCTTTCTCGCTATCGCTCTCCCTCTCTCGCTCTCCTTCTTTCTCGCTCACCCGCTCACTCTCCCGCGCCCACTCCCGCCTCGCACCCGCCGCCGTCGCCGGGGCCGCGCCGCCCGCTTATATAGGCCGAGCCGGCAGTGTGACGTAGACGCCCGCGGCCCCGCCCCCCGCACGCAGCCAATGCGGTTGGAGAGCTGCTTAAAGGGGCGATGCTGGGCCCCGCGGCGCTGCGTGGGGCCCGGTCCGCAGAGGTGTCCTCGGGAGTCTGCAGGCAGCCGCGTCTCCAGCCAAGAGAGGGCACGTGGGCCCGGGGCAGGAGGGGGAGGGGCGCTTGAGCGGGATTGGGGCTAGACCAGCCCTTGGCGAGGGAGGGATGTGGGGGTGGATGAGAGAGGGAGTGGGCAAGGGGGAGGGGAGAGGGAGGGATGGCGGGGAGGGGGAGATGAGGGAGGGAGGAGGGGAAGGGGGGGTCGGCAAGCAGGGACAGCAGAGGACAGTGAGGGACTTGGAGGATGGGGACGGATAGTGAGGGACGTTGGGGGACAGTGAGGGACATTGGGGGACGGTGAAGGACATTAGGGGAGAGGGAGGGACATTGGGGGAGGAGGAGGGACATTGGAGGACGGCGAGGGATGATATGATGAGGGGTGAAGGAGGACAGCATGAGACAGGGACATCAGGTTACCATAAGGAACAGTAAGGAACAGCCAGGGACAGAGGTGGGGGATGAGAGATGATGAAGGGCAGGCGCCCAGAGAGTGGGAGATGACAGATGGCACCAGACTGAGGGACGGTGAGGGACAGTGTGAGACTAGAACAGCATAGGGCAGTAAGTGATGGTGTGGGCCTGAGGACAGGAGGCACAGTGAGGCACAGAGATGCCTGGCTGGAGACAGCGACACTGTGGTCCACGGCAGGACACTGGGGACTGTAAGGATCCATGTGGGCAGTTGAGGGACAGTGGAAAGGCCTGGAAGTAGCAGCTGGGGACCATCGACTAGGGCAAAGTGATCCTGAAGCCCATTGCCTCCCTCAGACACCACTCCCCCCTCTTGCCTTACCTGTGAAATGCGTGCTGGTGTCCACGTCTCTTGGCTCCCAGGCGGCCGCTGATGCCCAAGGACAATCCGCCATCAAGCCTTCAGGTGGAGGTTTCTGGGGGCGCGAGTGATGCAATTTGGGCTTACAGTTTAACCGTAAAATAAATAATACAAATGATAAACCAATAGCTAAAGAAAAAGCAAACAGAAGCCCTCCGGTTTTAACTAGTACAGACTCTCCGAGCGGTGCTCCACCGCGGAGTAGAGGCCAGAGACAGGCAGCTGACCTCTGTGGTCTGTGCAGAGCCCGTCTTGAACCTCGGCAATAATGCCTGATAGTCCTAGGCTTAGCACCACCTCAATGGGCCAGTTTAACATATGGAATGAGATTCTGGCCTCATTATCTGGTTAACTATTAACGCTGTGCCGGTGAAATGATTTGGCTTTTTTCTAGTGCTCACTTCCAATCTTTATAATTTAACTCAAAGGCCTAATTTTAAACTCAAGGCCTTAAGTATCAAATTAAAAATCTGGGGCATTCCTATGCCCTCAGTGGCATGCTAAGCAGCCGTTAGAAGACTATCCCCTTCTTTCTGATGATTCCTTTGAGTCTGGCAGAGGCCCCCAGGTCTTACTATGTAGCACTGGCTGGCCTGGAACTTGCCATGTAGATCAGACTATCCTTGAACTCACCTGCCTCTGTCTCCTAGGTGCTGGGATTACAATTCAAACCGCCACGCCTGGCTTTAATAGCTAATTTTCTTGTCAAATTAGGTATTTGTTATGTTTTGATAGTTTTTGAAAAAGTTTCACTCTGTAGCCCAGGCTAGCCTGGACTCACTCCATAGTTCAGGCTGACCTCAAACTCAGTAATCTTTCTGCCTCAATCTCCTAAGTGTTGACATTTTAGAGGCCTGAGCCACACGTTCCATCTTAACTAGGTTTTACTCCTGTCCCCTTTTATGTTCACAGCTAACCCACATACTATTAGCTGTTTAACAGAATCCATCCCAGAACATGTTTTCAGACCACACAGTACAGCGTTTACTGAATGAGGACTTTGCGGAGCTCCAGTTTCATCCTGAAAGAACCCTAGTTACACTATTTCAAGTCACCACAATACAGTTGTAATTTGTGCTTTAGCTGTCTTGGCAGGCTTTTATATTCCCCTATTCATAAAACAGTGATAATCACCAGAGCAACCATGGGACACACCCCTTCTGTAGGGAAAGAAGATCAACAGGATACTCATTCTGCGCCTGTGCGCTGGAGGATGTGCTCATGTTTGGGTAAATTATCAAAAATACATCACAGAGTCATATGAGTAATATATGACTAATCCAGTTTTTCTCTATGGATCTACTTTAAACTTACAAACATTTGCTCACTTGTTTGGGGAAAAAAAAACCAGTTCTAGTTGCTTCTTTGAATTTGGCTTATAATTCATATAATGAAGCTCTCTTGACGGTGGAGGTACGAGGTGAGGAAACAGGCCCCACAGATCTTTTATTGAATAGCCTACTTAATGGTATTTCTAATAACATTGATATATTGAAAATATTGTAGAACATTTGGGGAAGAGTTTAAAATGCTGAACCACACGGTTGCCATCCTCTATCGATTAAGGAATCATTCATTGGCCTTCAACAGATTCAAACTAGAAGAGAGATTTAGAGAAAAAAAAATCTTTTCTCAAGCCTAACTTGTTTTAAATAGTCTTTAGTCAGAAACTTAAAAAAAAGTAAATAAAAATAAAAAACCTCTCATAGTTTATTTAGCTTTGAGCCCATTTTAAAAATATATTTTATTTTTATTTTATGTGTATGAGTGTATTGCCTGCATGTATGTGAGTGTGCCTGTGTCGTGCAGTGCCATGGAGGTCAGAAGAGGGTGTTGGATTCCCCTGGAACTGGAGTTAAGGACGGTTCGTAGCCACCATGTGGGTGCTGGGAATTGAACCCAGGTCCTCTGCAAGAGCAGTCAGTGCTCTTAACTGCTGAGCCCAGCCCCTTCCCAAGAAATTTTTATTAGCTGATATTTTGAAAAAAACAAAACTTACACAAAGCACCTAAAACATTAGTCTTACATCAGACTGACCCAGATGTTTTATACCTGGTCTTTTTCCACCACAGGAGACGCTGACAGACGCCATCCTTGGAAAAGGAAAAAGCTTGAGGCACTGGCTCAGAAGCCAGAGAATCACAGCCATTTTCCCTCTGTCCTGTTAAACCCCACATGTCACATATTTGTGATGGATGGGGGGGGGGGATCTCATCAAACATATGCTTACATTCTGATTTGAAATCCTATAGGGGTACACACACTTTGATATTTATTCTTCTTGATTATAGGTGTTTTGTATACTTTGTTTATAAGGAAATATCTTAGAGTGAAACATTTCTTGCATTGCCATAGACGAGTAAAAAAGTATGCTATAAAAATACATGAATAAGGCAAGATTTACATTTCTTAGAAGTCATTTGTTTAGTGCACTGTATTGTTTTGGAAATAACCATGCATAGATATACACAGACACACACATGCATACACACACACACATATCTCCAATAAACTCTGTGGATTACTTTAGAGCATACATGCTGATAAGAACCTGAGATTCAGACTGGCCGGATGGCTCAATGGGTAAAGGTGCTTGCCGCTAAGTCTAATGACCTGAGTTAAATCTCCTGGACTTAAATGGTGGAAGGAGAAAACCAACTTTCATGAGTTGCCCTCTGACTTCCACACGCAGGCTCTTTCACACAGACACAGACACACATACACACACAGAGCATATGGCCTGTGAAAAGACTAAGTGTGCTACTTAAAATGTACTAGTCTTTTATTTTAGGTGTTTTTAGGGACAGGGCTTAACTTTTTTTTCTGAGACAGGGTCTTGCTATGCAGCACTGAACTGTAGGCCTGGCCTTGAACTCCAAATGTTGTAAACCAGACTGGCCTTGAGCTCAGAGATCTACTTACCTCTGCCTCCCAAGAGCTGGGATTAAAGGTGTGTGCTACCACACCCAGCCTTAACTACTTTTTCTTAGTAGGAAGACAAGTTATTTATATAGTTTGTTTATTTTTATTTTTATTGGTCCTTTTGAGACAGGGTCTCCCTGTAGCCCCAGCTGTCCTGGAACTCACTATGTAGACCAGGTTGGCCTTGAACGCACAGAGATCCACCTGCCTCTGCCTCCCAGTGCTGGGACTAAAGGCGTGTGCCACCAGCCCAACTTAGTTTATTTTTAACTGAGCTATCTTTTATGTCCCTAAGGCTCCCTTAATAAGCATCTAATGCTGTTGATGGGTATTGCATTCCTAATTGTACTCCATTTCTAGAACTTAAAGTTTTTTGAATTTTTAGCTTCCTGTGAATTAATTAAGATAGGTTTTTCAGGTTAGTTAAGATAGGTTTCTTTTAAGCATTAATCTGACGGTGATCTTCAAATTTTCCCACCTAGCACATCTCTATTTCCTATCAGCTGGCCAGTAGGGTGTGCTCTAGTCCCTTACCAAGTTAATTAATTAGAATATTAATGTAAACTCTTCATTAAGATATTTCGAAAAACTCACTTTACTTCTCTATCACCACCAGCACATGTAAAACGTGCCACAGATGCATACGTAGTCTATATGGAAATGACAGCTATTTTAGTAAATAAGGAACACTTCATCAGGGTGCTTACTTTTTGATTTAGTACTAAAATAATTTGATACTTTTATTGTGAGTAGAGAAAAATAAAGTGGTACAATGAGCAGAAATGAAGGCTCATGCTGGGATCCTGGCAGAGTGGAGCCGGGGCTGAAGGAGTACAGGTTCAAAGCAGCTGGGGCTCCATAACAAGAATTTGTCTCCAAGAAAAGCAGGAGAAAACAGGCTCTGAACTCAGAGAGCTTGTGTTTGAACTCTTGGCACTCAGTAGTTGCACTTTACTTAGTAGTTGCAAATTACTTAACCTCTACATATCCAGTAACCTGGGGATTCTTACTCCGCAGAGCTATTAGACAAGCTAATTTATACGTGAACACAGAATGCTGCCAGGGCCAATTAGGATTCAATAAATAGTTCAGGTTATATTATTATCATTGTTATTGCATATTCATTGAGAGATGTTGGAAGAGCTTTCGTTGTAAAACTCCCAAATTCTAGATTGTAATTTGTACCTGATTTAATTTATCCAAGAAGTAATTTCATTAAATATGAAGTGTAAATGATTCATAAAATACCTTACTTGACTCTGCAGTATTTCCTCTTCCGAGGCTGTAAAACCTTAAGACAAAGAAAAGCCTGCATAATAGAGAAGTGTCAGGCAGCAGCTGTCCATGGGGAGATAATCAAGGACAGGGAGGAGCTCCTTGGTGACTCTGAAGGCAGGCTACCAAGCCCTGGAAGTCTGTGGGCGTTTACTCCTAAACTAGAACTCCTAAACCTTCCCAGGCATATTTCTCTTTTTGAGACAGGGTCTCCCTGTAGCCCCAGCTGACTTAGAAGTTACTATGTTGACCAGGCTGGCCTTGAACTCACAGAGATCCACCCGCCTCTGCCTCCGGAGTGCTAGAACTACAGGTGTGCGCCACCATGCCCAGCTTTTAAGTTAGGTTTTACATTTAGTGAGCTGATCTGTTCTCTGCGTTCTGTCATTCTTAGGACTGTGCCACTGTTTCTTTGAGAAGTTGGAGCCCACTTCTGCTGTCCTCATTCTGGTGAGGTTCTGGAGTGAATCTCCCTTCCAGCCCTGAGTGGGAGAAAGAGCTGCTTCAGCTGGCGTGATTACTGGGTCCTCACAGAACAAGCAGGTGGAGGAGTGTTCGGTGAAAAGGCTGTGAGTGGTGGGAATTTGTTGTGTTTGTGATACACGGCAAGTTGAGTAGAAAAACTGGGCAGCTTTGGAGAGTTTAGTCTTTGGTAAGGGGAATCCCAAAATACTCATTTACTCAAGTACTATTTAGCAAGCTACCCCTTCCCTGTCAGGTACTGTTCTAACGCTGGGTGTACACTGGTAAACAAGGTGGCCATGATCTTTGTCCCTGTGAAACTTACAGTCTAATGGGAATGAAAGAGAGCAGATAAGTAACTGGTATGTAAGTCACTGTAATAGTGTGCTATCAGAAGGTGCTGAGCCAGAGGATAGTGGTGGCAGGAGACGGAATGGACAGGGGTGACCACCCAGGGGAAATGGCAGGCATGGTAAATCACCTGGATGAAGGGTGGTGAGAAGAGGTTCAGATGAAGAGCCTCTAGAACGAACATTTTGAGTACAGGACTCCCCAAAATGGGAGACAGCTTGGAGGAACTGCAGGGCTCAGCCCGAGAATAGGAGACCACTGCAGGTGCCGGGAGTGTGAACTGATGGCTGAGAGGTAGATGATGACTCTTGGAAAAAGCAAAATAAGAGTCTAGAAACACATGGGGTTGGAGAGATGGCTCGGCGGTTAAGAAGACTATTCGTGCAGAAGACCTGGGTTCGAATCCCAGCACCCACATGGCAGCTAACAACTGTCCGTAACTCCAGTTCCAGGGGATCCGACAGCCTCTTCTGTCCTCTGGGGGCATTGCACGCATGGGTGCACTTACCTACACTCAGGCAATACATGAACATACATAAAATAAAAATAGTAAATAAAATATTTTTTTTAAATGGTGACAATCAGGAATTTACCAGTATACATTTTCATAATCCATCCCCAGGTAAGGACTGTTTCTGTATGAGTTGATTCAACCCCTCTCTCCTCCCCAGGTCTATTTACTGATTGCTGGATTATTTTGTTTGGACCCCGGGGCTTCTTTCAGGCCTATGGCCCAGACTTCCTCAGATATCAGTGCTTTTTGACTTTCATCCCTTTCTTCCGTTGTCTGAAATGAACCTGAACAAGCTGCTGCCTTTCGCTCTGACGCCTGTGTGATGGCCTCTGCTCCTTTATGCGTCTGAGCCTGATGCGAGTTCTGCTTTGAGCCTTGAGCCTAATGCTGGCTGAGGTCAGGTGAAATGTGAAACTGACTTATTTGTCCCATTATTTTCTCCCACATGTTCTTTCCTCTTGTTGCTGATGTTTTTCTTACCTTTCACTATTTCGTTAATTTTCCCTGAACTGATGTTTTTTTGGATGCAGGGTCTTATGTATCCCAGGCTGGCATTAAACTTGCTAGGTAGCTAAGGGTGACCTTGAACATCTGGTCCTCCTGCCTTCACTCCCCAAATGTGGGGATTATAGTTTATATGGTGCTGGAGATCCAGCCCTAGTGAATACTCCACCAGCTGAGGTGCATCCCTACCCCTGAACTCTGTTTTTAAAAGTTGTGACTAACTGGTTTTGAGTTGGAAAATCTCATATATAGATCCAGAGCCATGTTTCTTGCCTGCTAACAAATTTAGGAACACAGGAACACAGAGCCTTTTTTCAGCTGCCTCCCTGAAGGTGGAGCATGGTTTCGTTTTAGTGTAAGTCACCTCGTGGGCTTTCAGATGTTTGAGATCATGGCTTTGATGCTACTGTTCCCAGAGCCATAAGAATTAAGAAATTGAGGGGCTGGAGAGATGGCTTAGTGTTTAAGAACACTTGCTGTTCTTACAGAAGACCCTGGTTCGAACCCCAGCACCCACATGGCAGCTAATAACTGTCCATAATTCCAGTTCCAGGGCATCCGACAGCTTCTTCTGTCCTCTGTGGGCACTGACACGGGTGCACTTACCTACATGCAGGCAATACACGTGTACACATAAAAATAATAAATTTTAAAAAAAAAGAGTCTAGAAACACAGATTTGGGGCTTCTGTTTGGATCTGGAATCAATAGGCCTTCATGGGAAAGGGAAGGAAAGGCCAGGCATGGCTCCAGATTGAAGACTGTCACTGGGTGAATGAGGGTGCGTTTTAAGACGATAGAAGGGGAAACAGTAGTTTGGGAGATCAGAGCATGGGAGAAGGTGTGACTGATAAATAGGGTCTGGAGCTTAGGTGGAGACTTGGTGACGAGAGAGATGAAATGATGTTGTCTTGTTTAGAGGCCAGACAAATGACTGACTTCATCAGTGCAGGGGTGCAACCTGGTCACACAAGAAACCCCAGGATGTCAGGGCCCGGATTTCTGGGGACAGAGGCCAGCACGCAGGTGGGGGTCACCTCCTTTGTTCCTTGGTCATTTAGTGGAATGGGAATGGAGCCGGTCTGGTAGCCTCATTCTGGAAAATATGGGTTTGATACTCATGGTCTTCCACAGCAAGACTTGTCATTAACAGCATTGCAATAACTACCACACACTACTACTAACTACTACTACTACTACTAACACACCACTGGAACTCTGAGTGCAGGCTTTCAGTTTAATATCACTTTTACGAAGTAGAATATGAATTTCAGAAAGTTGATTTGGGCGGGATTGCTACCTGAGTTCAATTTGTCTATCCATGTGTGACCATTTCTTTTGAGTTGTTTCCGATCTCTTCCTTAGTCAGTCTGGTTGTGGGATTAAAGTCATTATACTCTTCTCAGAATAATGAATGGGACTGTCTGATATGTTAAAGGTTACAGAGTGTTTTGTTTTTCTTAAAAAAAAACAAAAACCAGCATGCTTGATTCTTAAGACAATCGAGCATTTATGTTGAATTCCTTCTGTTGTAAAACAGGTGTAATTAGATCATCACGCTTAGGGAGTTGTAAATAGTGAAAGCTGTTTGGGAAAACATATGACAAAAACTTAGTTTCGTTAACTTAGAAATATAAGAAGACTTGACGCTGTTAAGCAAGTTTTAAGCTGATACATCAGGAGACACTTCAGGATGCCGAAGGTAACCATTACTCATTCAACAAACATTTACTGAGTATCTGTCATATGTATTTCTGAAGGTTGTACTTTTTACAATTCAGAGCAATTTCCAGTCATTTGTGCTTTTTGTTGCTGCATTTTTTAACACTTTCACACGCCTTTGCCCTGCTCCATTCATTAGCATTTAGAATCCTAGCAAGCACTGTTATTTCCTTTACATCCCATTGGCATACAGCACTATCTTGGTCATAGACATAAGCTTAAATTACAGGACACAAGACGTGGGTGAGTGCCAACACCTTAACTGATATAAAAATACAAAGGACAATTAGTCAGAGAAAGGCCATACATTCTACAGCCATCAAAAAGTTTGAGAGTTAGATTCTTTGAAGCACTCTGAAGTAAGGCAGTAATCACAAATGAAGAAAGTTTTGTATCTGAGGCCTTCAGTGAGCAATATTCAGCATGGTGAAAAGCTGGTCCATTGGTAAGACAACGAATGCCTATTCATGTTCTTGTGAAGATTTTATAAATAGAAATAATGCATTTATTCTGGGATTAGGAATAATAACTAATAATAGCTATCACTTTTATAGCATTTACTTAGAACTGGGCACGGTATAAAGCTTTATATAAACTAACCGCGAACGCTATTATTACACCCAGTATAATAAGGAAGGTGAAGGTTAGCCATGTGCCTTAAGGTTCCATAGCTAGTTACCAGGTTCAGTTTATTTATTTATTTATTATTTATTTATTTATTTATTTATTTATTTATTTATATTTATTTATTTATTTATTTTTGTGTTTTTGAAGCAGGGTCTCCCCAGCAGGGTAGCCCCAGATGTCCTGGAACTCACTATGTAGACCAGGCTGGCCTTGAACTCACAGAGATCCGCCTGCCTCTGTCTCCCAAGTGCTGAGACTACAGGTGTGCGGTTCAGTTTATTTTTAAACACTTCAAATTCTTCCCTCATTGTGGTTTTTTTTCTTTAAATAGAATGCAAAATTAAATATGGAACATCTATCCACAGGTTGTCAGGAATTTTTTATTTGCTTGTGACAGAAGCCCAACTCAGAAATAACAAGAGGCCTTCAGTGATCTGCAGGAGAGGTCTGGGGGCGAAACCAATTCTACTTCATCCGGGTCTTCACGGGAGGCTGGCAAGACCTGGACCCCTCTACTGTTTTGCTTATTGTTGTTTGAGTCGTCTTCATTTTGAAGTTCCTTGGTAGGCAGACCCCAGTGCCCTCCAGCTAAAATACCAGAACTCTAATTTTATGGATTGAATTAAACCTTGAATTTGACTCTCACTAGTCTAAACTGTAGACCAGGGGAATGCAGTGCTTCCCCTGGCCAAATCTGGCTGGGGAGGGCAATGCTCAGATTGACTAGGCCTGAGCAGGAGCCCACCTTTGGGATGACCAGTGGAAACAGTTCCATCTGAAGAAGAGGAGGGATGGGGAGGTGGAGTAAAACTGTCAGGCATGTCTAACCTTTTCACATTGCAACATGATGCTGTCATCTACAAAGTTCATGCTGGAGAACCGTGTAATAGAGTTACCAAGAATGAAAACAAACAAACCACCACACCCCCCCATGCAAAAAAAAAAAAAAAAACCCATAATTTAAAAAATACGTTTATGAGCTGGGCATGGTGCTGCACGCCTTTAATCCCAGCACTTGGGAGGCAGAGGCAGGCAGATCTCTGTGAGTTCAGGCCAGCCTGGTCTACATAATGAGTTCCAGGCCAGCTGGGGCTACAGGGAGACCCTGTCTCAAAGAGACCAAAAAAAAAAAAAAAAAAAAAAGTTTATGATTTTGTTCTGGGCAGTATTCACAACCATCCTTGGCTACATGTAGCCCTGGGGCAGCAGGCTGGACATTCCTGGTAGGCAAAAGGAGTCATTCGTAGGGTACATAAGAGTCCACTGCAGCCGGACCCTTATCGATAGCATTGAACACTGCTTACAGATTTCTTGTTTTCGTGACATCAGTGGCCCCATGCTTCATTTCTTCTTGATGCCTCTTCCGTCCTCTGGTCCCTGCTCTTCTGCTGGGCTTAGATGTCACCCTTGAACTTCTCGATTTGTTCCTTTAGTCACCTTATTCAGTCTGTGAAAAATCAAATTGTAGTTTCATCTTCTCCGCTGACTTCAATCCCAGGTTTCCAGTTTTCACACTGCACTTGACCCCTGGGTATTTGTTGTAGACTGACTTTTTTTTTTAATTGAGCTTTTGTACATTTCATACAATAGTTCTTAACTGAATTTAGACCCCTTCCCCCATCCATGCCTTTACACCCCCAACACTGGGCCCATGTATTCTGCTATACATGTTAAGTCCCATTTGGTCAAGCACTTTACCCAGATGTCCTCTGGTGGAAGCTCATCCACTGGAGTCTATTCAGCCCATCTAGGGATCTTAAGGAAGGTCTACTCTCCCTCACCTAGCAGTGATCAGTCTCCAACAGTTCCCAGGTGAGGGCTGGTTCACCACCCGCTTCCCTCGCTCCACTCCGGACCCTTGTCTGATTGAGTTGGCATGGGTCTTGTGCTAGATGCCACCATTGCCACAAGCTCACATGTGCAAGCTTCCAGGGGCCCGAAGGCTTCTGTTTCCCTATGTTCATAGACCAACCCTGGCTCTTGCAATCTTTCTGCCCCTCTTCCTCAGTGGTCCCTGAGCTGCGGCTGGGTGAGGTTAATATAGGAGTCCTTTCAGACTGGCTTTCTTGAGAAGCAGTCCCAGTTGGAGATCATAATGAAGACATTTGTCAGCATGCTGAAGGGAGGGGAGGAAGAAGACCCAGGCGGAGGGGAAAGGTGAGTTGTGACAACCCTTAACAAAGAGAGCTCTTGAAGAGGCGTTCCTTCATGGGCAAGGACCTTTATTCCTCCAGCTCCCATTGGTGAGCCACTGAATGCCGAGTGCTCTTGGACAGAAGAACACACTTTGGACAAGTCAGTTTTCCTGGGCCCAGGCAGCATCCAGTGAAAACGGTCCATTTTTCTGGGGCAGCAGTCCTCCAAGCTTGGGGAATAAGGGTTTAATTCCTCAAAGGAGATCCGGAAGCTCATCACGACAGTGGCCTGCTGCTCCCGTTCTGCTGGGAATCTTACTACGTTTACCTACGTGTTTTGAAACTATGTCATTGGATGCATACAAGTTTAAAATGTAAGGTCTTCTGGGATTAGGAACCTAGTTTAGGGGCCATAGACTCACCTACTGCACAGGAGGCCTGAGCTTGATCCTTCACACCACAGCAGTGCAGCAGTAATAGTAGTATTAACAAAAGAATTATCACATCTTCTGCCGAATCCAGCAGCTTAATGTACTGCCAGCCTCTGCATCCAGCGATGGCCTTTATTTTGAAGTCTTACTTTGTTTGGTATCTCTCCAGCCATGATGACTTTCTTTTGGTTAGAACTTCGGTGTACTTTTTCTGAAAAAAAATTTTATGCTGTTTGTATTTCTTTGAATTGTGGGTCTATATTGTGGAAAGCGCAGAGTTGAATTAAAAGAATAGTTGCTGATAATTTGAGTCTGTTTCCACCATGATGTTCTCCTCGTGCTTTTTATTTGTCTTGATTTTAGGGTTCCTTTTTTTTCTTGATTGTTTTTTCTCGTCTCATGTCCCCAGTTTAGAAGTTCTACCCTCTGTTTCTCTCTCAAAATTATGAAATACTTGATATAGCATCTTTGGTGTCCTGAAAAAAAAGAAACATTTTTTTGTTGTTTTGTTTTGTTTTGTCTTTTTGAGACAGGGTCTCCCTGGAGCCCCAGCTCTCCTGGAACTCACTACATAGACCAGGCTGGTCTCGAACTCACAGAGATCCGCCTGCCTCTGCCTCCCGAGTGCTGGGACTAAAAAGGAACATTTTAAGGACATAGTTGCATGACTCCCCAGGTACAATCTCTAGTGCTGAAAAAAGAGGAGAGGAGAGAGAGGAGACTCCATTGAGATAGGTTGCATTGACAATGCTTTGTGGGCTTAGAATATAGCTCAGTGGTAGAATGCGTGCCTAGCGCTGTAAGACCTAAGTTCAATTCCTAGCATGGGGCAAAAAAGAGAAAAGAACGTGTTAACTCATGTAACAACCTCTAAATTTTCCATATTCTTCTAGAATCTTCATGTTCTTGTCTAGAATTCAAACCCCTCTCTACCACCACTAACTGGGCTTTACTATTGTTTATGTAGTCAATACTTATTTAGAATTAACTATGTCGTTTGTTCACTCTGCTTTCTTGCCACGAAGATACTATTTTAGGGTTAGTTTTTAGCTTCCTATATTTACTTTGAAAACTCCTGTGGAGATGACATCTCGGTTGAAAACTCTTAGCAGTTTTTCTTTGGAAATGTTTTTTTTTTCACTCTCATTCTTTTATTTAAAAAATTTTTATGCCTTTTTATCTTATGTTCGTGTGCGCGTGCGTGCGTGCGTGCGTGTGTGTGTGGGGGGGGGGCACTTGCTACCGTGAGCATGTGGAAGTTGGAGGACAACTTGCACAAGTTGCTTCCTTCTTTCCATCTTGTGGGTCCCAGAGATCAAGTTCAAGTCGTCAGTCAGTCTGGGTGATAAGCGCCTTTACCCACTGAGCCATGTTGCTGGCCCTTGATCCACATTCTTAAAAGACAGTTTTATACGTATATAACTCTAAGTTGACAATTTTTTTTTTCCTTTTTGAGACAGACTCTCCCTGTAGCCCCACCTGGCCTGTAACTCACTTTGTAGACCAGGCTGGCCTTGAACTCACAGAGATCCGCCTGCCTCTGCCTCCCAAGTACTGGGATTAAAGGCGTGCTAAATTGACAATTTTTTCCTTAGAGCTTTAAAAGTATTGCCCCACTGCCTTTGGATTGCTCTGGGACTATTAACTCTTTTCTCTCTGTTGATGCGGTGTATTTACAGTGGGTCCATATAACTTATTTTTATTCTGAAGATTACTGTGCTTTATCAAATAGTTGTTAATCATTACTTTTTAAAAAAAATATTAGCCGGGCGTGGTGGTGCTTGCCTTTAATCCCAGTACTTGGCATCTTTGTGAGTTTGAGGCCTGGTCTACATAGTGAGTTCCAGGACAGCTGGGGCTACAGGGAGACCCTGTCTCAAAAAGACAAAAAAAAATTTTTTTATTTATTATTTTTATTTTATGTGTACGAGTGTACTGCCTGCATGTATGTGAGTGCACCCGTGTGGTGCAATGCCTCAGAGGTCAGAAAAGGGCTTCGGATTCCCCTGGAACTGGAGTCAAGGACGGTTCGCAGCCGCTGTGTGGGTGCTGGGAATCGAACCCAGGTCCTCTGCAAGAGCAGTCAGTGCTCTTAACCGCTGAGCCGTCTCTCCAGCCCCGTGATTACTTTTATTGTCTCTGTTTCCTCTTCCTCCTTCTTACCTTTCCTCTAAGTGTGTTTGGATGAGTATCAGATTCTCTTCCTCTGCCTTTTTCTTATTTTAATCTCCTTAACTCTGGTAGGTTTCCCTTCCTCTCTCTGCCGGGCGTCCGTATAATTTCTTCACATCTGTTTGCAGTGGCTGTTGCTCTCGTCAACTCTCTCTGCTACTGTAATTGAATTTGTAATGTCAATTATATGCCTGAAGTTTTGTGAACTTTTAGCTATTGTATTTGGTTCTATTTAAAATACAGTTAACTCACAACAGTGCTGACAGCATGGACAAATCCCACGAAAGCTCAAGCCCGACACAATACCACCATAGACGTGGGGAAGTGGGTAAGAAACCCCAACCTTATCTGAGAAACTGCTGGCAACTAGTGACTGCTGGGAAGGGGAGATTCAGTCTCACTTAAGGTGAGACTCTCAGTAGGTTGACTAGGCTCCAGGGGATGAGCCCACACCAAAGGGCATTTGGGGACACCAACCTGACTCTACGGCTTTGATAAATATGTATAGAGCACAAAAATTTGGTGAGGAGTTATAAAAGGGGGTACAGATATAGGAGGTGTATTGCATGAAATTTGCAAAAAATTCTATTAAAAGTTAATTTAAAAAGGAAAATATAATTGATTGTTTTGGGTGCTTTCTTTTCCCTCGTTGATTCCCACCCCTTTTTGTTTGAAACAGGGTCCCTCTCTAGCCCAAGCTGACCTGGAACTTAATCTGTAGCCCAGGCTAGCCTTGAACTCATGGAGATCGGACTATCTCAGCCTTCTAAGAGCTGGGATTCCAGGTGTGAGTCACAGTGCCCAGGTTGATACCTTCTTTTATTTTTATTTTTTTTAATATTTGCTTATTATTTTTATTTTATGTGTATGAGTGTATTGCCTGCATGTATGTGAGTGCACCCGTGTCGTGCAATGCCATGGAGGCCAGAAGAGGGCTTAGGATTCCCCTGGAACTGGAGTTAAGAATGGTTCATGGCCGCCATGTGGGTGCTGGGAATTGAACCTGGGTCCTCTGCAAGAGCAGTCAGTGCTCTTAACCGCTGAGCCATCTCTCCAGCCCTGTTGATACCTTCTTTTATTTCTTTAATCATAGTAAATATATTTTATATTTGGTACCTAAGGATTTCAGTACCTGTAACCTTTGTGGGTTGATTTTGCTTTTTCCGTAGTTTTACTTTTAATAACTT